CACACACACACACACACACACACACACACTCACTCATACACACAGTCATACACACACACTCTCACACACACTCATACACACACTCTCACACACACTCATACACACACACTCTCACACACACTCATACACACACACTCTGTTATTTCAGTTGTTTCAGCTCTGAGTCTGTCAGTCGTTCAGGGTTTATTTTGAACTGTTTTTTTTTAAACTTGAGTTTGAAATGCTGTAGTTTGTATTATTTTCTGTTGGTTTTCTCATCATTTGTTTGTTTGTTCATGTGTGTTCATTTCTCCAGCGTTCCACGTTCCTTTGTCCCCCACTGAGGGTACACATCCTTGTCTTTTCCATATTTTCATTTATTCATTTTAGTTACTTTGACAAACCTGTTAAAAACACTTTCCTGTCTTTTAGTATAATAATAATACAGATCTCAATACAAATATCTAAACAGCCTTAAATCGAGACACATTTGCTTGAGACACAAACTGAAGATATGAAGGCTTGTTTTCTGAGAAAATGAACAAAATTAAGTGAGTTTATGCTTAAAATGAGAACAAATATCTGTCAAGAAGATATGAAAACTCCCTTTGAATTAAGTTGATTTTGAGCAGATTGGCAGATAATTGTCCTTGTTTTAAATATAAGCTCTTTTCATTTTGATCAGTTTCTCAGAAAACAAGACTAGCTGATGTCATTTTGCTTGTTGTTCCTCTTTTGTTCAACATTACACAATTAAAGTGTATTGTGTACCTCTTATGGAAAGATGGCGCAGAAATATTGACGACTCGTCTTTGTTTCCGTGCGTAGTTCGTCCGGGCAGCGTGAGAAACATCATCCAGCAGTTTGAGAATAATTCAGACTCTGTTGAAGACGGTGATATCAAGGGACAGCACTTGTCTTCCAGCAGCTTTGGAGAGGACAGCATGGACAGGTTTGAGTTTTATACTCTAATAATCGTAATATCATAATCTTATTTGATCTTAAACCTTCACATTTTGATCATAAACACAACATGCAAATGTTATATTTGCAGTTGCATGTCAGTAATAACAACAGACTTCTTATTAGGATATTTTGCATGTATCTATTTGTGAAAGTTTACATATTTTAGACGTTTCGGCTTTAATTATTTGATGCTAATTGCATTTGTTTATTCTCCTCCTCAGTCCGACTATCTTGGTGCGTTTGGCTCGCAGCGAGTCTTTGAAGGCTCAGGGGGAGGGGCGTCGGCGAGGAGGCGGGGTGGGGGCGGAGTCTGTCCCTCGTTCCCGTAGCGATGTGGACATGGAGGACTGTGAGGAGAGGGAGGGGCCAGGGCTGAGACGGTTACATCACAGCGCCTCGTCCTCAGCATCCAGCAGCTCAGCACGGTAAAATGTACATCATTTTAATAATTTACATAATCATAATAATATACACACTGCCATTCAACAGTTTGGGATCAGTTAGATTTTTTATGTTTTTTTTTTAAGACATTTCTTCTGCTCATCAAGGCTGCATTTATTTGATTAAAAACGCAGGGGGAAAAAACACTAATATTGTGAAATATTATTACAATTTAAAATAATGGTTTTCTATTTTAAGATACTGTAAAATATAATTAATTCATATGATGCAAACTGAATTCTCATCATCCATTACTTCAGTGTCACATGATCCTTCAGAAATCATTCTGGTTTATTAACAATATGCTGATTTTTTGGAAACAGTTTTTGCTGCTTAATATTTTTTTTTTGGAACCTGTGATATTTTTTTCAAGATTCTTTGAAGAATAAAAAGTTAAAAAAGAACAGCATTCATTCAAAATAGAAATATTTTTTTTAACAATATAAGTCTTTACCATTGCTTTTTATTAATTGAACACATCTTTGCTGAAAAAACATACATTTCTTTCAAAAAAGACCCCAAACATTTGAATGGTATATTATTATTTAAATAAATGCAGTTCTTTCTTTTTTTTTTTTTTTTTACATTTTATTCATCAAAGAATCCTGAAAAAAAGTATCACAGGTTTCAAAAAATATTAAGCAGCACAACAGTTTCCAGCACTGATAATAATCAGCATATTAGAATGATTTCTGAAGGATCATGTGACACTGAAGTAATGAATAACTGGATTAAATTCAGCTTTGATCACAGAAATGTATTGTGTTTTAAAGTATATTAAAGTAGTAAACCTTTATTTTAATTTGAAATAATATTTCATAATATTACCATTTTTGTTGTGTATTCTTGATCAAATAAATCTAGAAAAACATAAAAAATCTCTGTGTGTGTGTGTATATATATGTAAAATGCTATATTGATTTGTAGTGTAATGTGTTCTTTTGTAACTATGATTTCAGATCGCTGGAGAACCCGACGCCGCCACACACGCCTCGCTCTCAGCGCAGGTGACGCAGCGCAGCTCTCTCTATGGTTTGTCTCTGTTCGTCATCTCACTCTCTGCTGTGCGTCTGCAGGCTGCTGGACGCTCCGGCGGCTCTGTTACCAGACGCTCCGGCTCTGGACGAGGACGTGATCGACTCGCAGAACTGGCAGGAGACGGTGGAGCCGCATGTGATGACCTCACTCTCCTCACGAGAGATCGACCGGCAGGCCGTGATCTACGGTACACATGCACGCACACGCACACACACACACTCACACACACACACACACACACACAAA